AATGAAATGGAATATATATGGAATATTTCCTGATAATATTGCCTAAAGGAAGCATATATAAAGTGAAGAGGATTGGTCCTTGAGGAACTCCATGACTAACTTTGGCGTGCATGGAGGACTCATGTTAACATGTAAATGCTCCGTACTTGTATAGCGCTTAGCGTACTTGTAGTCTTTTCGACCACTCAAAGCGCTTTTACACTACATCTGCATTCACCAGTCACACACATTACACTAAGTGCTCACACTCACTCATACACTGGCGGAATAGCTGCCAGGGGCAATTCGGGGTTCAGTATCTTGCCCAGGGACACTTCGACATGCAACCAGGGGGAGCCAGGGATTGAACCGCCGACCCTCCGATTAACAGCCAACCCGCTCTACCTCCTGAGCCAAAGCTGGGGAAGAATAGTCTGTTTGGCTTGGGGGAGAAACAAAGAGGAGGGGGAAGAAGGAGAAGAAAAAGGGGGGAAAGAAAAGAGAAGAAAAAAGAGAGAAAAAAGGAAAGAAAAGAAGACAACATAATTCTGTAGACCCCAGTAGCGCTCATGTGGCACTCCAAAGTCTTTTTATAGCATATTATTTTTGTTAAGACCAAAAATGTAATTTTGTGTGCATTTCAGGAGGATAAAGACACATCCACACAGAGAACCTGTTTGAATCCCACCTCTTGGTTGCCCATGTAAACTTGATTTAGTATAAAAATACTTTCTTGGTCTACCTCATGTATTATATTGGTCTACTATCCATACATAGACTCTTTGTATCTTTCAAGTTTCTTTGATTAAATATTTTACAGTGATGTTTGTTGCTTTGTGTTCCCTTGAAGAAGAATGTGTTTCTTTTATGCTGTCTTGGTTTAATTTGTCTGGTGTCTGAGGCTGAACCAAGCCCCAGTGTTAGCTCAATATAGCATAATGTCCTGGAGAAGACTTCCCTAAACAGAACAAATCCTTTGAAGAAGTCACCTTGGACTGTGAAAGTGCCTGTACTTTTAACTTCACTCACTCCAATTACTTGACAGTTACTAGTTACCTGAAAACAAGATTTGCACTCAAAATATATGAATGATATGAACTTTTATTATAAATCAGTTTAGAAGGAGGACAAATTGTCAGAAACACTCCACAGTATAAGATAATAAAACAATAACACATACCTATATATTAAAATAGTATAGTTTAGTAACATAATTACTTATTTAAGATTAACATTAAATATAATATAAACTATAAACATAAAAAGTATCCAGGGCACATGCCTCTGATAGTGGGGTAAACAGTCCCTTTCATAGAAAATTGAACATTATAACTGAATAAAAACTAACATTAAATAAAAGTATTTACATAAAAAAAGCATCCAGTAAAAACATTTATTTATTCCTTTTCATGTCCTCCAACCACTGCTCCTTTGGTACAGCCTCTACAGAGGGGCAGTAAACCACACCCTTGTATTGGCTGTGTCCAGTCTCCGCCGTCCTGAACTGTCCGCATTTTTTGCACGTGTTGTGCAGCACCTTTCGGGTCAGTTTTCGGGGGACTGGAGCAGGAGCAGGAGGGGCAGAGGAAAGGCTGAACCCCAGGGTCTGTGGAGCAGCACCTGGGGTTACTGGAACCAGCATCAGGAACTGAGGGCTGGGTGGAGCAGGGAAGAGCTGCCGCTGAGGACGCAACTGAGGACCTGATGGTGGAGCAGGGAAGAGCTGCTGCTGGGGACGCAGCTGAGGACCTGATGGTGGAGCAGGGAGGAGCTGCTGCTGGGGACGTAGCTGAGGACCTGATGGTGGAGCAGGGAAGAGCTGCTGCTGGGGACGCAGCTGAGGACCTGATGGTGGAGCAGGGAGGAGCTGCTGCTGGGGATTGACAGCCATGGGTGTTGCCACCGAGGGTGATACTTTCCTCTTCAACTTCGCCAGGCCCACGGTGCTGCTGGGCAGGTGGTACTGGTGAGCTGGGCCTGGCTGGGGGGGAGCAGACGAGGGGCGCACATTAGCAGAGGGAAGAGGGTTAGCTGCCACAGACAAGCGGCTGGGCAGGTTCAGCCCCTGCATCACCACCATATTTTCCTGCCTCTTCACCCTCTTATTGTGCCACTGCACCAGGGTGGTGTGGCTCACATCCACCAGCTGCAGGGTGGTCTGCTGCATTACCGGCCCATTGCACAGAATGAGCTGCCTGATCTTCCTGTAGTCAAGAAGGATGAGATCCCATCTTGACACTGTGCCAGTCCCCTTCTTCCTGGGACTGTGGTGAATGGCACAGAGCCTGACAAAGATAGTTTCAATCAGGCGGCAGCAATCTGGCCACTGGGCAAGTGGGGCAGTGGTGGTGAGTGCGTGCCTCTTCACACTCTCCGTCCCTGGAGTGAACTCCTGCCTCTTTTTTGGAGACCTAAATCTCCCTGTGTCCAGCCTGCTCTGGTGTCTGGCAGCAAACACCACCCTCTGCCTGTCGTGGTCCGGCAGGTTCTGCCACAGAGCAACAATGGTGCTCACCTAAGCAGAGAGAGAACACAACAGCACATGAAAAGACGAGTTAAGTGTTAAGTGTGAACATGTATTACAAGATTGGGAAAGTAGCAAGACAATAAATGTTACTGACCTGCTGGTTGTTCAGGTACAGAGCGGTCTGGTTTCTCAGCTCCACCAGATACTCTGCCAAGCTGTCAACTTTGTCCAACCCTGGCATGCCACTGTCATCCACCACCTGAAAAAACCACGAGGACAGTGAGGTGGGACAAAATGCAGATGTGGTTTATATATGTTTATATACACATAATTATGTCTTTACATACCCCGGACGCAGCAGCCATGGAGGGAGCAGGCTGGGAGGAGGCAGCAGGCTGGGAGGAAGCAGCAGGTTGGGAGGAGGCAGCAGGCGGGAAAGAGGCATCAGGTTGGGAGGAGGCAGCAGGCTGGGAGGAAGCAGCAGGCGGGAAAGAGGCAGCAGGCTTGGAGGAGGCAGCAGGCTGGGAGGAAGCAGCAGGCTGGGAGGAAGCAGCAGGCTGGGAGGAGGCGGCAGGCTGGGAGGAGGCGGCAGGCTGGGAGGAAGCAGCAGGCTTGGAGGAGGCAGCAGGCTGGGAGGAGGCAGCAGGCTGGGAGGAGGCAGAAGGCTGGGAGGAGGCAGCAGGCTGGGAGGAAGCAGCAGGCTGGGAGGAGGCAGTAGGCGGGAAAGAGGCAGCAGGCTGGGAGGAAGCAGCAGGCTGGGAGGAGGCAGCAGGCTGGGAGGAGGAGAAGCTCAGGTCATCGAGCCATGGCACAGTATCTTCCTCAAAGCCCTCGTCTTCTTCTTCTTCCTCGCCCTCATCTATCATCTCCAGCATGTCCTCTGTCTCCTCTGAGTCGGGGTTCACCGCCATGGGCTGTCCAGTCTGACTCAGCAGGTAGTCAACACCAAGCAGCTCTCCTATGGAAAATAACAGAAACACGCACACAGACACATTATTAGTTGAAATTCAAAACATTCTATATCCTTATGTAATTGTTTTATTTTAACGTCAAACATTAATACACTAAAAACCCACAAACCAAAACAAAAGCCACATCATCATCATCATTTAAGACATACCAGTGTATCTGGCAGGTGGCCTGAAGTTTGGCACAAGTACCCGGCCAAACACCTTCAGGCTGTTGGTGTTGAGAACACATCCCCGGCGTAGGTGAGGAGAGATGAGGGCTTGCTGGTCACTGCTGCAGTCCCTCGATCCTGGTTCCACCTGTTGAGGCCTTCCAGCAGGTACAACTGGAAGTTCAGTGCGTTTGCACTGGTTCCTGGGAAAACAACAAAATATGGTTTTGCTTTTCAATCTTTAAATGTGTTGAAAAAAACCTTACAAATTATTTAAAATCCCACAAGAGAGACACCAACCTGGAATGAACCTGTTGAGGTGGCAGTGAAACGACTCCAGGGACGTGGACCCTCTGGCACAGCGGTACCTGGTCAGGACAACGCCGCCTTTGGTGGTGGTGGTGCCTGTCACTGTGTACAGCTGCACACCTGGCACGTCCTGGATGCACTTGACGTGCCGTTTCTGCACCCGCCAGATGTGCTCCATGCGCACCTGTTCCAGCAGCGGCACCCCCATGAGGTCTCTCCCTTTTGGCCCCTCCAGTGTTTGCAGCAGCTGCTCGATGAGGCTGATGGTCCCCTTCTCCCCGCGCGTCCTCCTTCTGCAGTACTGGCTCAGCTCCTTCTTAGTGATTCTCCTGTCCACCAGGATATCAGTAAGCGCTGGCACACCCTCCTGTCTGAGCTGCTCTCTCTTAGCCTGCCGCAACAGACTGAGGTCCCCTGCATCCCACTCAAAGATACATGCAGACAGGCAGCCCATGAAGGTGGGGTAGAGGGGATGAGCATCGGTGGTGCAACCGACAGCCAGCCTCCTCATGAAATGCCAGATGTCCAGTCTTATGTGGATGTCTGGCCACTGTGCAAACCTGGTCTGCAGCTTGCTCTCCCCCTCGCTCACGCAGCAGCCACAGTCCACATACAGCAGCACAGGCGGGGGGACACATGCCCGGCGGTACCGCTCCATCACTCCAGACACCATCCTGTCCAGTCCTGGCCCCTCCTGCACTGTCAGGACACTGGTCAGGACCTGGCCAACTTCGTTGCTGATTGAGGTCAGCCAGAGAGCTGTCCCTCTGCCGTGGCCAGCCAGCTTCTTTGTAATCTGGAGGGTGATGTTTTAATTACATATGGTTTAGACATCTGTAGCAGTTAAGACACAGCACAAACTTATGTAATGTTACCACTGACAATAACGTAAACATGTATATGAGAGTATATATTAAATACAAAGAAATATATTACAGTTAGATTATTTCTTACCTTTTTGGTTGAATCCATCTTTAAGATGGAACCAAACGTGGAGGTGATGCTGGCCTTAATGTGGTCCAGACGGGAGAGGATGTCCCTGCTGTAGACGGTCAGAGTAAGATAAGAGTAAGTTTATAGCATAAATAAAGGCTATACTGAAGATGATTTACAACAGAGCCAGACCTACGAATAGATGCTGTACTCACAGGGGCTACTGCAAGGCTGATGCTTACAGAAGGGCTTGGGGTTCTCACAGAGGATGGAGAAGGAAGAGGAGAAGGAGGAAGAGGAGAAGAGCTCGGTGTCCTCACAGAGGATGGTGCAAGAAGAGGAGAAGAGCTCGGGGTCCTCACAGAGGATGGAGAAGGAAGAGGAGAAGAGCTCGGGGTCCTCACAGAGGATGGAGAAGGAGGAGAAGGGCTGGGGGTCCTCCTAGCCACTAAATTGGGCTTTAGTGAGTCAGACTTTGACCCACCAAAACGTGATTTAGTGAACTGAAAGGAGAAAAAGATATAATTTAATGATGCAACACAAACACAATGGTTCATACAAAAGATTAATTGATTAGAAAGAACTCACCATTGACAAACTCAGCGGGGGCCGCAGGAAAGACCTCGGGGTGGCGGCAGACGCTGCAGCACTTGCTGAAGTCGCACCAGGGTCCGAGTCTGAGGCCACAGACTGTGGGGCTTCAGCAGGAGTGGCAGGCTGCTAAAAGAACAGAATTACGACATGTGATGTAACTGCAACAGCGTTATAACACAGATGCGATGCAAGATGAAAATTTATGTGATGTCATTTTGAAAGAGATCACCTTAACGGTGTGAAATCCACAGTTACAGGCCTTGGACCCTCCAAAGAGGGTGCTCTGTCCATGGGCCTGCATGGGGCATTTCTCAATCTGGAACAATCAGAATTATAATTTACAGTCCGTCTGATTGATACTATCTGCACCATGAAATCGAACATTTTTCATCTAGTTAACTGCATGTTAATGACCGTAACAAGTAATGGGTAGAAATTTTGCTATACTTTACCTTCTGGTAGAGGTCATACCACTTCCGTTGCCTTGGGGCTGGTTTATTACCTCCTGAAGGCCAAAGGCCAGTGGTGGCAAATGCCCTCAGCCTCGACATCCACTCGCCATCTCCCATGGCCTTGTGGCTCTTAGGTTTGATGCTCATCTAATAATATGAACGTAATATATTTGCATTCAGATACAGTGACATGGATATATCTACAACCATTAACAGCTGTTATCTCCCTTCTTCAATGCTCCAGATGGGCTAATAACAATGTCAATGGCTCAAATGTCATTGGTAGGTAGCTATTTAACCAGTTAATATTTACAGTAAAACGACAGGTACTGTAAGCACACCCACAATAGCTCTTTTCAACAAGTACAACACTGAATGTGAACATGCTTTGAATAATTCACTGTGACACTGCGGCACATACATACTTGCCCATGTAACTTGTCAGAAGCAAAGATAATATATTACGTTCTGTACAAAATATGTAAGTTACAGCAGCTGTGTTAGCTATATAACGTTGGTTACCTGCCACCGCTGTCTTAAACAGGTAGTAAGCCTACTAAAATATTCTGATACAATGAAACGTTTCTATAACTACTATAGAAACTATTTATATAACGATGAGATGCAATGCATATAATGGGTGTGGCTAATTAAGAAGGGGAATAAAGCATGCATGGCTGTTTAACGTTACACTTATATTAATTTTTTATACCGTTATTACATTTAAATTAGTGATATGCGTTAGTGACTGCTAGCAGTTAACGTTAGCTAACGTCGTGCCTTCATTATAACGTAATGTGACACTCGACAACAAAAGATGGATATATATATAATATAACTAAGCATGTATGTCTATAAAATAAAGACATTTATTACTTACTTCTGACAGAGTTGTTAGAAGCCGTTTCGCCGGCGATGTCAGTCACTGGCGGAGGGTATGGAAAGAAGCGCAGCGATAGGTGACGTCCAATGTCATCCCGCGCAGTGATTGGGCGCCATCCAATGTCACATTGGATATCCCGTTGAGCGATTGGCCTCCGACACCTCCGACATTGGACCTTCAAATGCCAGGATTGGATGACAAGATTGGAGCTTGACAGCCCATTCTGAACCAAGTAGAGCCACAGCCGCCCCAAAAATGTACAAACTGATCTCATAAATAGGACTTAAACCATCTTCCTTTATCCGGGGGGGCAGACACCGTCACTATAGGATTTTCACGAAGTAACTCCTGAAATGGAGGAGCAGAGAAGTGTGTTAGACTGCGACTCTGCCTCCTGGTCTCAACTCTGGGTTGTCATGGATTTGGTCCACTAATAAACTTGGCCACCTTCATACACATGTGACATTACTGTACAACTTGAGAAAGGTGAGTTGTTTTCTGCTACAGCCTGCCTAAAAGAAAAGCGTTTTTGGGATTAAATGGACTTTATTAGCTGCTGCAGTGCAGGATGAACTCAGAACAGACCCATTTCTCACCTTATTATTCTAAATCATGCAACGAAGAAGAAGAAATGCATAATAAATCCTGGGACAAAATCTGTCCACAAATACTGTACAGCATGTAGTCTAATGAACAAGACTTGTGTTATAGCTGACTTGGGCAGTGAAGTGTTTAATTTTTTTAATTCATGTGGTCATAGTACAACACAACTCAAATCAGAATATAAGAAGAAATGTTTTATACCACCTCAAGAAGGCTTCCTATCAGAAAGGTAGGAAGGTATTTCAAATGTACAACTGCAGTACTTAAATCTAAGTAAAGTAATTTCCCTGACATTTTTGTGTTACTTTACTTTTAATAGACACATGTAACAGGTTTTATACTTCCTGTGAGTATAATCCAATCAATCTTATTTTCATACTGTATATCCGTTGTGTAATTTGATAAATTGTGTTGTATGTCGTGCTCGCATTGTGTACTACTGAGACTTCATTGCCCTCTTCAGAGAAGACTCTGACTGCAACATGCGTCTTTGTAAAGAGAGAAACGGACATAAAAAGTCTCTAACTCTGCCTGTCAGCTCGCTCTGCTCCGTTTAAACTGAATTTACCATACAGAATTGAATACGAGTGCACTCCAGATTTAGCTGCAGCTAGCTGACCGTGTGATTCTCCCGATACCACAGTTCTGTGTCCATGCATGCAGCAAACTGAAAGAACTGTCTGTCGGAGCGTCTACGTGAAAAGAGAAGGAAGACATGGCTGGTAGTGTCTTCAGAGTTGTTAAACACCTCAGCGCACTGAAGGAATCCATCTGACTGTATGAGGGGCAAGATCATTGATGTCTGCAGGCAGAGTAGGAGCTCTCCTGTCTGACTGGTCCACCAATAGCAGAGAAGATGACCCCTTGAGCCCCTCCTCATTTGCATAATGAGGCAGAAATGCATACAGAAATTTAAAAAGGACAGGCAGAAATAAATACCATGGGTGAAAATAAATAAGGTAAAAAAAATACAAAGGAAGAATAAAACAGACAAAAATATTAAAACACACACATAAATAAATACATTTTAAAAATTTGTAATAAATAAAGTTGAAGATTATAACAGAGAATAAATAAATAAGGTAATTATATAACAAAGGTGAATAAGTAAAGGCACTAATTAAAATATACATTTATGTCTCCTTGTATAATTTAATTACTACCTACATTTATTTACTTTATTTTTTTGTGTATTTAATTGGATGCTTATTTATTTATTGAGCACTTATTTATTTCTGTATTTATTTCTGACTATGTCAGGATCGGTCCTCCATAGCGGGGTGGGAGAGTTATCAAGCACGTAAAGTTTGTTTCAGATGTGAGCATGTACACTGAAGTTACAACAACTTCCTGTGTCATGGCGAAGAGTTGATCTTTGACGCCACGCCACGGACACGCCCATTGACGAAAACTCGCAAATAGCACAACTTTTCATCTTCAATGCCTTTAGAAGGCGAAGCAGAAATTTGAAGTCGGTTGGACTAAATCCCTAGGAGGATTTCGTTAAAGTACGAAGTGTGTAAATCATCCAAAAATGGCCGTAAAAATTCAAAATGGCCGACTTCCTGTTGGGTTTAGGGTATGGCTCCAAGAGACTTTTTTGTGCGTCTGGACAAGATACACGCACCACAGAAGATTCGTGCATGTAGGTGAAATGTGCGGCGGGGGCTGCTTAGTTAAAGGTCACTTCCTGTTGCCAGCAGGTGGCGCTATGACTGTGGGTAAATGTTGGCATGTACATGTGTTCAGGGCGGGACTCTCATCCTACAGGTACACTTTGGTCCAGATGTGAGCATGTACACTGAAGTTACAACAACTTCCTGTTTCATGGCGAATCATCGACGCCACAGACACACCCATTGACGAAAACTCGCAAATAGCACAACTTTTCATCGTCAATGCCTTTAGAAGGCACAGCAGAAATTTGACGTCGATCCGACTAAATCCCTAGGAGGAGTTTGTTAAAGTACGAAGTGTGTAAATCATCCAAAAATGGCCGTAAAATTCAAAAAGGCCGACTTCCTGTTGAGTTTAGGGTATGGGTTCTTGAGGCTTTTTTGTGCGTCTTGATATGAAAAATGTCCCCAGAAAATTTTGTGCATGTAGGTTGAACGTGAACGAGGGGCTAATGGAGCTTACTTTGCAGAAAAAAAATACATATATAATCTTAGCAAATTCAATAGGGACCTCGCACAGTCATGCTCGGGCCCTAACTAGGTTCTTTTTTAGAAGAAAGAGTAAAAGGCGCTTTGGTCAGGTCACGTTTCACTAGTGTAAGAGACGTGGATGCTCCCACCTCTTTCTTTTTTAAACCTGGAGAAGTCCGTCTCTCAAACCAAACAAATGGTTTGTCTCCGTCTCCCTGATGGCACTGTGACTACTGATCTGGGAGATATGAGACAGTGGAGTATTATAGTTCCCTTTTCAGAGTGGAGGACTGCAATAAAGAGTGTGTGGACAAGCTGATGCAGGGGCTTCCTCAGTTGGGCTCTGAAGACAGAGATGTCCTGGATGCCAACATCTCTCTGGAAGAGTTTACTGCTGGAGTGGGTCAGATGGCTTCTGGTAATGCTCCTGGACTGGATGGATTACCTGTTGACTTTTATAAACACTTTTGGAGGTGGTTATGAGCCGACCTGCTGGAGGTTCTCCAGGAGTGTTCCGAGACAGGATTGTTGCCAACTACTTGTCGGCATGCGGTGCTTTCATTGTTACCAAAAAAGGAGATCTGGCACTACTTAAAAACTGGAGACCAGTGGCCTTGTTATGCACAGACAATAAACCTTTTTCAAAAGTGCTAGCCAATAGACTTAAAAACTATCTAGACTTAATCATCCATAGAGATCAGTCATATTGTGTGCCAGACAGATCTATTATGGACAATCTGTTTCTCATGAGAGACTTTTTGTATGTTTTTAAACTTTATAATGTTGTTGTAGGCATTGTATCATTGGATCAGGAGAAAGCGTTCAATAGGGTTGACCACGGTTTTCTTGTTTCCACCTTAAGAGCTTTTGGGTTAGGTTTTATGTCACTGCTTGGTTTGATTTGATGTATAAGGAAGCTTTGTGTTTGGTGAAGGTGGGTGGTGGGTTGAGCTGTCCAGTACAGGTACAACTGTATTCCTTAGCTGTTGAGCCGCTTCTCAGTAAGCTGAGATCCAGGTTGTCAGGACTGATGTTACCAGGGCTGTCTCAATGCTCTTCACTGATAGTGTCAGCTTATGCTGACGATATTAATGTTTTTATTAGAAATCAGAGGGATGTGGAGATCTTAAGCAGCTGTTTAGATATGTACCATAGGGCATCTTCAGCTTCACCGATGCTACCAGGAAATCTTAGCTGGGGACGACAGGGTATGAAGATTTTGGGTGTGTTTCTGGACAGAGGAGTTTGAGAGGAAGAATTGGGAGGGTGTTTTGGTGAAAGCGTGTACCAGACTGTCTTCAAAATGGAAATGGCTGCTACCTCAGCTTTCCTATAGAGGGAGGGTCTTGATAACCTGGTTGCCTCAACCCTATGGCACAAGCTGACAGTCCTACCTCCACCAAGGGATCTGATTGGAAGAATCCACAGAGCCGTTGTGGATTTCTTCCTGGTCGGGCCACCACTGGCTGAAGGCAGCGATACTGTACTTGCCGGTACAAGAGGGAGGACATGGCTTGGTCATTACATCATGCATTACAGCCTTCAGGCTACAGACGGCTCAGAGACTGTTATACAGTTTTGGGCTACCATGGACAGACACTGCCATTTTGTTGCTGAGGAGGGCTGGGCGGTTAGGATATGATAAACATCTGTTCCTAATTCAGTCCCAGCTCATGAATCTAACTGGTGTGACACCCTTCTACAAATCTGTTTTACAGGCGTGGCAGGTGTTCACCTTCCAGCGGAAAAAAGTGATGATATTAGGGATGTGGCTGTTTGAGGAGCCATTGTTTGGGAACAGTTTTATTACCTCTCAGGTTCTTTCATCGAGCAGCCTGAGATCTAGACTGAGAGAGGGGAGATGTGTCAAACTGGGACTTATGAAAACCTCTATTCCTCATTTGAATGTACAACTCAGCATCAGATCCAGCAGACTGCTGCTTAGGCGGGTGGTTGAGGTGTGTGCTTCCCTGCCGGAAGGCTGTAGAGCATTTGCTGATGATCGTACACTCTCTGGCCAATGAGATTATGAGTGTGAGTATGTTTTCCTTCTCTGGTTGTCTCTCCTGCGGTGGGATAGTGGCAGGATGAGCAGGACACCCTGCTGTCTCTAAGAACACCAGAGTTGGGGGACTTTGAGGCATTGGGAAAGAAAGCAGCCTACCAGATTAGCACCAAGGTCTTGAACTTACGCTCCCTGACAGGGGTAAAGGTGTCGAGGTGGACAGAGGTTTCTTGCGTGGGATCATCCCGAGGAGCTTTTGGCGGTCCCTGTATAAACCTCCCGTTGAAAATCGGGCAGGTGATCTTCAGTGGAGGATCATACTGCAGCTGCAAAGATGACCCAGTTACATTATTGTAACATTATTGCATTTCAAAAGTTGCAGTGCAAGAGGTTTGAAGAATATGGATTTGTTTCAGTACATACAATACACATACATACCATTTTTCCCAGGAAACATTTGTATATTTAGTGAA